TATGTCTTGGTCTATAAATAATATTATTGATCACAATAATTTTGTTTCCTGGTTTTCACAAAGTGGAGCGCACAATGATTTCAAATATTTAAAAAAAAGAGATAACAGCACCCTTGGAGGTGTGATCGCATGCATGAGCGTGGATGACCTTTGAAGGGTTTTTTTTTCCGTAAAGTATGATATGGAGAGCAGCGCTTTTAGTCCCTTATTACACTCCAGTGGGGGAAAATTTATCTTAGTGATGACTCTTGTGAAGTAAAATTTGTTGTTGCTTTGTTTGGTTTATTTTTTAACAGCAGAATCTTAAGTGAACCGGAATTATTGATTGTGGGATCTTAGGTGAATACTACAACAATAGAATTAAAACGAGTATAGTTCTATCTAACAAGACTCAAACTCTTATCCACCCCACCCTACCCTCTCCCCTCATCTGATATGGTTTGGTGTTTCTTTAAAATAGAAAATATTCATCATTATTGTTGTTGATTTCATGTTCTAATGGAGCCTCTAGATATCTACATTTAGACTACAGTAGCATCTAATTTGCACACACAAAGTAAAGCAATATCTTTAATTAAAATGTATAATATGTATATACATACACACACATAATAATTATATATATACACATAATAATTATATATATTTATGAATAAGAATACTTTAAAAAAATTGAGTATCTCCGTCTTTCTGCTGTGGTGTTGTATCCCTTTCAGCCTGGGTTGGCCTTGGCAGGTAGCGCCGGAGCCAGCCTCTTAATGAATATTAATGATTTAAATTGTGTTGCTGGGGGCATAGAAACACTTTCATTCAAATTTTTTAAAAAGGAAAACAACTTAACTGAAAACTTCGGTCCACTGCAGCATCATATCGGTTCTTACACTTAAATACAACACAGGTGCAAGGCATTTTTACTAATTGACTTGCCTAATCTCAAGGGCCTCAAAATAAAGCCTTCTTCCTTATCTAGATTTCAGCGCCTGAGAAGGGCATTCGTGCAGCGCAGGTAGCCCACAGTTCCGCCGCGAGAGAGGGCTCCTATCAGGCGTGCGGTGCCGCCCACAGAGCATCCTCCATTACTTTTAATCTCCTTGAATAATACTAAACAGCTTAGAGGAGCCAGTTTTTTTTCATCAAAACATCCCCAACTTTGACTCCAATGTGTAAATAATAAGCTGGCAAAATTAGGGACATACATCTTTGGATGACAATATCCAGTTAAAGCAAGTGTAGGCCAACGATAAAACTTTGCTTAATCCGTAATATATATATTTTTTTCTATTTCCATCAGCACACACAACACCCATGATTTGCCAACAATCTTATTTTGCTAAAAATAACATTTCTGATGGTTACCGGTACCTCACATCATTTACTCTATTTATCCATTATTTTCCAAATTCTAATACTATTTTGCGTCTCTTGTGATTCACAAACTATATTCTTAATTACCAAACAAAGGCCTATACTAGTACTTCCATTTCCTGCCCATGTGAAAAGTATAAAATGTCTTTCAAAAGGTAAACTTGATAGTAATGTAAATTGTTTGCATTTCTTTGATGCTCTTTTAGATTGTTTCAGTTTCACATTTAAAAAAACTCTTATTCACATTTTAGTATTTTTCTTAATTAATTAATTTTCTTTCAATTCACTTCCAATTTTGCATGACTATAATTTATGTAGCAGCCCTATACAAAGTTACATGAGCCATTTTTTAAAGATGTATTCTTTTTAATTTTTAGGCAAAAGGCAAAGGGGAGCTAATAATCACATCTATAGATAGTCTTTATAAACTTATTCCAAAAAATATCTGGATTTAAGTTATAGCTTACTGGTAAAAACAAAGTTATTTCTACCCTTTCCTTCAAACCAATGGTTGCTAATTTTTGAAGTATTGGCTGCTAAAATTAAAAAAATTTAGAATGTCCAACAATAAAAACCTGCACTGATATTGTAGAGGTTTGGAAACTGCCAGTGTTGAAGAAAATCAATATTATTAGGGTCCAAGTTCAGGTTGGTCATATATACCAAATAAACAGTACTACTGTACATTTTCAACCATTAATTTATTCTCCTTCCCTTTTCCCTGTCCTTCTCAGTTAGGGCTCAGTTAATAAAGCGTCAACAGCCACAGGTAATAAGAAGAATAGACACTTATCCTACTCCCTCCATATTGTGTTGAATCCAAAAGCCATTCCTAACAGAATTCTCTGAGCGAAAGCTTGATTAGCTGTCAGCTTACCTGTGACTCAGTCAACCTTTTAAAATGCTCCTTTTTCTCCTCTTTGATTTTATAAGCCTTTCCACATTCTTTGGCAACAGACTTTGCCACTTTCTCGAACTGTGTATCATCACTGAAAACGATCTCCACCTGAACACTCTGAGATACCACATTCAACTGTTGAGCAGACTCTGTAAAAACAATTACAAATATATCAAATGTAGCATCATCATGTCTGCATCAAATACAAGACTACATGATTTCTAAAGACTTTTTATTCAGCGGGCAAGGAAATTGATATATCAAAAGTTATTAAATGTACAGACAACTAGGGATCAAGTGAGACCACTGACAAAAAATAATAAATGGGAAGGAAAGAGGGAAATGTTAATGATCCTCCTTTCGAAACCAACTTTTAATCTCATATTTATAAACAGATGTCCTTATATATATCCTATCAACATACTGTAATTGTATCGATGTTAGGGAAGAAATGAATTAATAATAATAATAATAAATTATAGCATATATGCTGCGCACTTCCATTAAAAAAAAAATACTCAAGGCATATTACATAAAAAAAGACATCACATCTTAAAAATCAATCGACATTGTACATAAAACACAGTATTATGTATATTCATACGTATGTTTATATGTATAAAAACATTCTATGAGAAAAACTGTCTCGCAGTGAGCTTGGCAATGCATTCACTAAAAGTATTCAACAATGCAATAAAAATTCACAAAGGGCCAAAATAAAATTGAAACTACAATAACTACAAACATTCATTAAAACATTTGTTCTCTATAAACAGAAAGACATTTCCATTCTCTCTCTCTCTCCCCCTCTCTTTCTCTTTCACTCATTCTCAGTCTCCCACTCTGGCATGCACAATCATATATATATATATATATGGGGGCTCTCGTGGCCTAGAGGTTAAGGTGTTGGCCTCTCATTCAAAGGTCCTGGGTTCGAATCCGGGTAGCGACCATAAAATTTTCTTCTCTAAAATTGTCTCCTTTCACCTCCTTTCCAGCTCTCTAGCAATGTTCTGTTGTCTGCTTTCATTTCCACTTTCTGC